GGTAATATTTCCGTGCTGCTGCCGCGGCGGATGAGGTCAGGCCTAGGGCTGTGACGACTGATGCTGCGACCTTCATGATGATGGCTCTTGATTCGTGATAGACAGCAAAGGCAGGACTGGGCGTGAAGGCGAAGTGAGAGCGAGAGGAAGGCACCTACCATATATGTGTTTACCTACATTGTCTACACGAATGAGGCCGTTACCACAGCATTCTAGGTCAACTGGAAATGGTAGATCTGAAAATTGCATACTGGTAAGTTCCAACGGCGGACACGGGGTAAAGAGAGAGAGAGAGAATCGTGAATGGAGCGCATCGGCGGGAAAGGAGTGGACCGTTTGGGGAGCACCTAACAACAACAACCACGAGTTGGCGGCTTTGCAGGGTATTTAAGGGCTTTACTGAGAAAGAAAAGACTATGATTCAATTCTAAATCACATATCTAACATTTTTGGTGTGGTATCAAACTACCCAAGATTCATTATACAGTCCCATAGTGTCGTACATGATGTAAACGGTCCCCTCAAACCATCAAGATCGGGCGCCTATGCTGTGCGACTCCTCAGGCGCACCATGATAAATTTAGCAAACCCCGTATCAAGTCAAAGACCGCTAAAGAACAAGACAAAAGAAGTGATTACGATCCAGATCCGTTATCACCAGCCGGTTCCAGCATTGCTGAAAGCCCCACAGGGTCCATTGCTGAGCACATAATCCGGCCAGCGACGGCCCTTCTTGGGCCTATCGTCTCTGGGTCGAGACACAAAATATCCTGCCACACCCTGAGCGGAGCAAACATCATTACGATCGGTCACGAGGTAACAGCGACCCTCGGTGAAGATCGATCCCATGCAAGCCTTGTCCATTGTATGACATTCAATGCAGCAATCTTCTGCACTCTTGGAGAAGCCTCGATCATAATGGGTATAGCTCCAGGGACCGTGGCTGTAGACATTGACGATATGAGTGTCATTCACGCCGATCGGTCCTAGGATGTTCGGGGTCGCACAAGCCATGTAGGACGTCTTTGTCGAAGAGACGGTGTAGACCACTGTGTTCTTCTCGGTGGAAGTCAAGTCATGCGTCTTTGTGGTTGTTAGAGTCGCTGTAGTGACATAAGAGGCTGTGGTTGCTACGGTCCTGTCCGGGACCGTCGATGTCACCGTGATCGTGGTCAGGCTTGTGATGGTCGTCGTAAGCGGTAGCTGCGGCAAGAAGGTTGGCGAGTCCGTCATAGGTCGCCAAACAGTGTTCTCGACTACAATTGATTTGGTGCACGAAACCATGGTCGGAAAATCCACAGGCGTGCGAGCAAGGCTTTTCATCTGCGCGCCTCGGAATCCCATCAGCGTCTTCGGCTCGGAGACCTCGTCGCGCTTCACATGGCGCGGATGATGATTGTGTCCGTGAAAGCCATTTGCCTTGTTCACATGCGGTGGTCTGCGAGTCGGTACGGCTCCGATGATGGTTTCTGCAGTGACCTTCTCGGTGCTAGCATCAGTCAAGGTAAAGTACAGTTCCTGCTCCCATTCTGGTTCCTCTCCATCGTTGTGAAAATCCATAACAGGTGGGGCAGTCGGAAGCGGACCCGCTACTTTTCCTGCAGGGTTCACCGTGTTGTCGTCCACATGGTCCGCAGACGGTGCGCCCGTGTTCTCTGCCTCATCGTCGTCGTCGTATAACTCATTAGGGTCGAAAGTCGGCAGGGGGATACTGATTGCCGTGTCTGATATCAGAGAGCTGATGGCCGATAGTGGGGTCGGCACAAGTTTTCCTTCCACGAGAATATAGACGATCTGTTCCGGGGGAGGACTGTCCGGTGCTGCAGTCATGACTGGGACAGCGGGCGGACTTGTACTTGTGGGTTCTGGAAAAGGCGCGAACACAGGCTCGGGTGTTGTCGTCGCATTGATTGCCACGAAGCCGTCGGGTGTGGGAATCTGAAGATCGATAGCGTGTGGCTGGGCGCTGATCATCACCTGGTTTATGGTCGTCGTCACATTGTAGAATCTCCGTTTGAATTTATATATGGTCGAAGTAGTCGTGAATGTGTCTCCAATCTGACTTTCGGTGACGGTCTCGGTGATTGTCGACACAAAAGTCTTGGTCCTTGTGTAAGTTTTCCGTGGGCCCGTCGCCAGAGTTATAGATTCGCGCGTCGTGAACTCGACCGTCACGTCAGCAGCATTAGTAGTGATGGTGCTCGTATGTGAGGCGATAGCATATGGCGACACGCCGGCGAGGTAGGTCTGACAGTGCATCTCCGTCTTGGTAGTCTGGAAAGCCGCGATGCGTGTCAACCATGGCAGCCAGGCCAGGCACATGAATACGAGCCAGGACATGCTGAGCGCCTCCTCAAGTGCAGGTCGGGAAGCAGAAGCGAAGTATGATTAGGATCAAGCGATTGGATTTCCCTCGGAATAGTGCCTCTTGGGCCCGGGCGCAGAGAAAGGAGGCCTGGGGCAGGCGGAGCCAACGGTCATGGCCTTCGATGGCTGCTCAATTGCATACTCGAATTGTAGGCCACATGAAAGGTCCAGACTTGACAGAAGAGGTGTCCGGACCGCGGGTAAGAGTTGACAGGTGCCTGACAGGATACGACAGCAATTCACGAAGGGAGCAGGCTGCGGAATGTGGGATATGCGGACGCGAAAAATGGAAGTCGCGCGTTTGTGGTCGCAAGTTTACGGCAGGGCGGGAATGGAAACCCCTGACGGACGGACGCCTGAAGGTCTGGAGGCCTGAAGGAATGCAGCCATACACGTCGCAAAGAATGTGCCAGGATGCGCTTAGTGCGGATGATGCCAGCGCGCTAGAGTTCAGAGCGCAATTGACGACCATGAAACGCTCCCACAGACAATTGCCCAACTCTGCAGCTGCATTGATTCCGAACTGTAATGCAAGTCGGCACGGCAAACTGATCTTGCAATGAGCTCGTCGAAAGGATGCAGCCTATTTCCCCGCCCTGCAATCAGGGGCCCAGGCACAACCACGTGCGGGTTTGTCCTTTTCGACACCAAGAACCGGTGCTTACATTTTTTGGTCATCTATAAACATCTACGCCACATCTCCCTTCCTCACTCGAGCGCCCACTTTCCGCCCTTTTCGACTATGCTCACACTCCTCTTCTCGTCCAGACTCACCCGACCCGCGTGCAGAATCGCGCCCGTCGCTAACGTGTTCTTGAGCGTCGGCAATCCGCGTCGGTCGAGCTCGTCCAAGGTAACTTTACCGTCCTTGAGATCGGTAATGGCGTCGACGAATTTCTCGAAGGATACGTATCCATATCCCCCTTGGCCTGCAAAGTCGCCCCGCTCGTCGGGAGCATACTTCATGTAGAAGCTAGATGTCCTCTGTCAGCCCCACGGCCTGCATAGTCTCATACATGTTGATTTTACTTACGGATTATACCAAGTGAGTCCTTCACCGTCCTCCGTTACATCGTAGCCGCGCTTCGCCTGGTCCACCCTGATCTCACCTCCGTCGGCGAGGTAATGGAAGTACTGATTCGAATGCACACCGGCCTTCTTTGGCGCGGTCCAGCTTGCGGTAAACACTGCAGTAGCCCGGCGACCAGAGCCGTCTTTCTTCTCCCAGTCAACCAGCAAGGCAATGGTGTCCTCAGTAGATGGGTCACATCCAAGCCCAGTAGCCACGCCTGTCGATGCCGAGGCAGTCACCTTGGTCGGTCGGAACGAAGGTACCATTGACTCGCAAATGTCCACGTGGTGGCTATTCAGATAGTAGCTGATGTCGCTGTCCTTGCCAGCCCACGCGGAGAATGTCTCGAGTTGATTCTTGGGCTGACTCATGTAGCTGTAGAAGTAGTTGAAATCACCCAGTTGGTTGAGTGCCCGGTGCCTCGCATCTGCGTATGCCGGGTCGAAACGCTTATGGTGTTCGATGTATACAAAGACTCCCGCTTCGTGAGACTTTTCCAGCAGATCAATGTGCTCAGTCAATAGCTTGACCGCCGGCTTGGTGATCATAATGTGTATCTTCCGCGAAATGGCGTACAAGGCGATGGGATAGTGGGTCGGGTCGGGAGTGAATATGGTGATAGCGTCTCCAGGCGCCAGTGCGTCAATGGCAGCTTTGTACGCCTCGGGATCTCGCTTGTCATCGGCAGGAAAGCTATCGAACGAAGTGTCGAGGCCATTGTATTTCTCCGTTATATTCTTGTGTAGATGTTGTCCTACAAAGCGTGATCAGAACAGCCGTATATTCACTATAGACGATGGACGTACTAATAGCCGGAAACTTTTGCCCACTTGTGCCAACCATAGATAGCTTGCCCACCTTCCCTCGTCGTCGCAAATCGAAGAGTGTCAAGCCCACAACACCGACCTTTTTGTCCGATCCAGATGCACCTCCACCAACAAATCCGGTGGTGTACTCGCCGGTGCCTATCATGCAGACATTCAAGGGCGCCATGGTCAGAAGCAGGATCGAGGCCTTCGAGTAGTACAGGCTTGAGCAAGAATGAGACAGAGGAAGGAGTTGTACGGGTGTTTGTGCGATGTCATTTCCTGAGGCCAGCACAAAGCGGCAATTGACTATGGCGCTGATCAAAGCCCGACGGAAGTTGTTGTGCCTGCGGGGCAAATGCGGGGCCGTGGCCGGTAAAATCCAAGCAGGGCTTTGGCATCACAACCAAACGGATTCATCTGATGCTGCCATTGTTGTGCGCATGCTCTGAGTGGAGCCAGTCATGCTTTAACCGATGGCTGTGCACGCTTTCTTGAATTGTGCTGGGCTGATAATTGTATGGATGGGGCGCCCACTGCTGTGGACACCCTACGTCTTCCAGCTACCAACCTCAGCGATATTATTGCATTAATCAAGATGGACCAATGTGTATTGACAAAAGCACATTAATTGCCGCTCTGATTGGGTCATGGATACATTGGAAATCGGTTGTGTGTAATTCCAGGCGATTAAGGTAGTTTTGAATAATATGCTACGTTATATGTTTTCTCGATTTTCCAACCATTCCCAATTTGGCTTGGTGGTGTAGTGGTTATCACGTTTCGTTTACACTTTGTAAACCGTCACTTCGTAAGGAGGTCCGAAAAGGCCGCGAGTTCGATCCTCGCCCGAGTCAAGTTTTGTTTTGCCCCCTTCAAGACATCGTCCGAGACCTTCGCATATAGTGAAGGATAGAGCATCAGAATTTATTTCTGACCAACTGAAAGATTTTTGTCGTCTTTGTTATGCTGCAGTAGTATCTTGCTTGCAAATCTTTGAGCGAGCATCCAAGGAAATGCCCCAAATGCGTTATAAGAAAGACCCTCATAAAGACTTAAATAGTATCCACACTCGTATACTGGGGTTCAGAAGGTATCCTCGCCTCTCAGAACAATGGCATTTCGTCCCGCGGTTTCTTGTGCAAGGCAAAGCTTTCCTGATAGGCTGACCGACCCCTATGGTCGAAGCGGTTCTTGTGGGATGACGACGTGTCTTGCTCCGTGTGTTTCAGCCATTGCTTCAACAGAACAGTGGTAGAGAGCTCTTCTAGAAGTGCGGAGCATACTACATGGTATATGATTGCGACCTTCACACGTGTCTGCGGTGCACGACGTGAATCACACATTCGCCTCGTCTTGTCAACATAGCGGTCGCGCTGGATCTGGCTATCAATACCTCGCCGATAGCGTCGCACAGCGTGCCTGGCTCGACCTTCACCTCTACCGGGTGTTGCGCATTCGGCACTTTATTCGGCCAATTGAATGTCCACTGTCGCCTTTCAATTCGGACATACGACTCGCATACATAACACTCCGCGGTCATGCCGTTCAGATCTTTTCTCCACGCCGTCCACGATCGCATGTCGTCCAGATCCCCGTCTCCCGCAGGCACGGCAATAGCATCTACAACCAAGTCTTCGCCTTCGCCCAAGCCTCAAGATTCGACTTCGAATTTGTATTCTCGTAGATCCAAATCAAGATCTCCAGCACCTCCCCACCACGTATCGAAACAGATCATCACTCCGCCCGCCTCGCGGGACACATCGGCGACTCGACCAGATGCCTCGCCCCAGCGTCAACGGCGGCCACGAAGACGGCTGCGAGTGCAGGTCCCGCTGTACATCTACCCTACAGCAAACGCCTGGGAGCCACTCTTCATCGCCATGGCCGCGCATCCAGATCTACAATTCGACATTGTCGTGAACCCATTCAACGGCCCAGGCCCAGACGCTCTCCCAGACGAGAACTACATCGCACAGATGACACGCCTACGACAACACTCCAACGTCACAGTGTACGGATACGTGCACATCTCCTGGGCCGAGCGCAGCCTAGAAGACGTCCTGAACGACGTCCGCGCGTACGAAGGCTGGAACACAGCCTCACAACCAGGCGCGGACAAGGACATTCACGTGGACGGCATCTTCGTCGACGAGGCGCCCTACCACCCGCGCTCGATGGGCTACATGTCCAGCCTGCACGCTCACATCCGACGGACACTCTCTCGTGGCGCGCTCGTCTGGACGAATCCCGGCTGCCCCGTCGCCGCTGCGTATTACAATCACGCGGACCGGATCACGGCGTTTGAGGCCTCGTTCGCGGACTGGGATGAGCGAGGCGGGTTCTTGCAGGGTTTCGAGGGTGGGAGCAAGGAGAAGCGGAAGACGGGCGTCATGGTGCATTCGTGTCCGCGGGAGAAGGTGGCGGATGTTCTGGCGACCTGTAAGGAAGAAGGCGCTGATGGCGTGTTTGTCACTGATCTCAGAGGGTATGAGGGATGGGGCAGGGGCTGGGCTGAATGGGTCCGTATTGTCGCGGACGAAGTCGAGGCTGCGAGCTGAGAAGATGATGCACGATTATTGTTGTGATGTCTCGTTGTTCTGTCATGAGCGCAGCCTTGTTTGCACGCCATTATGTTAGACTTATTTGTGGATACCCTATCATTTTGATACGATGCAAGATGTCGAGCTGTCTCGAGCACGAGTGCAAATTGAGATGACAAGGATAATCATTCTGAATGCTTCGTAAGTCTATAGGTATGTACATCGTAAAGTCCTTGATTGGACGGTCCATTGACCCAAAACGCCCATGCACTCAACGACAGAGCAATCTTCTCTGCGTTCAAATCGGATTGACAAGAGTAGTCTCGCTCTGCGCAAAGACGTTGCTGTACATTGACGGCAACCTCAGCGGCTCAGCCATTGTAGCCGCAGGGACAGCAGGGACGGCGACTCGACCGCCAAGATGCGTGTCCTGCTTGATTCTTGCCCAGGCCGCCATGCCTCTCCGGGCATGCTCAGCAGGCACAGACGAATGCGTGTCTGCCATGGACCTGTTGAAAAGCTCCATGCTCACCCAGCCATTAAAGCCGAGCGAGTTCATGATTGCTTTGAGTAGTTCCTTGACAGGGAGATAGGCACCGCGGTCTTGCTCGCCGTAGAACAAGCGGCAATTGCGGCTCCACGACATACGGGCTGGTCGATCTTTGACATAGAATGGGTGGTCAGGAGTCAAAGGCTTGTGCAGGCGCTCTGCATCGACGACTTGGATGAAGAAGACCTTTCGCATGTCGATGGTGCGCACCAGGCGCTTGATCGAGGCCGCCGTGTCACTAGCGGCATTCGTGGTCAATCCAGATGAAGAGGTTGGGTCGGCATATATCCTGCCGAGAATATTGAAGGTGTCGAGACAGAGACCGAAGTTGGCACGGTCAACGCGCTGCACCACGTCCCAGCACTTCTCCCAGGTGTCGATGTACGTGCTCCAGCACAGAGACTCGTAGTTGAAGCGGATGGGCGGACTTCTCGCCGCTCCCATGTCGGCTACCTTCTGCAAATCTGATACGATGACACTCATGTCGCCCGTCGTCTCCGCTTCGGGCAAGAAGCTGGCTGGTATCGATATCAAATCTGTCTCTAGAATATCGGCGAGCTCAAACCAGAGTTTCAATTCCTCTACTCTGGCAGCATGTCTGGATCTGTCCCGCAGACCTTCATACTGGCTGAACGGTTGAATGTTGATGATGGAGAGGCCGAATTGCTTGCACATTGAGCGGACACTGGCAGCGGCATCTTTAAGCCCCTGCGGCGTTCTGCCTGCTGGAAGTGTGTCGGCCAGATATTCAAGGTCCTCAAAAAATATCTCAATGCCCTCAAAGCCATGGTTTGATGCTTGTTCCAATTTGCTGCGCATGTCATGAGCCCAGGCGCGTCCGAGCGACATTGACGAAATGCCTGGTCGACATTGCATCTTGACGCAAGCAGCAAGGTTGGTCTGGCTGCGATGTTCTAGTCGAAAATGGTTATTTGACACGCATGTATTCTGTCTGGTGGTTGCAACGCTAAAGTAGGGGCAAGCGGCGAGACTAATAACCAAGAGTGCTATCAACAAGCCAACGGGCCACCCAAATCTATTCGCCTCACTCGGCAGGCACCCGGCCCTTCCGGGCAAAACACTCGTCCACAATTGCGCGATACGGGCAGGTTCGCAGCTGAGCGCAGCCAGGGGCGGCTCAAATGAGCGAAAGGAACGGGAAAGGAGGATTGGAAACAGAGCGGCCATCAACACAAGTTGTGGGGGCGATTGTGTCAGATTGGTGGCGCGACGGTTGAATATTTATCCACCACATTTGCCGCATGTCTATCACTCTCTATACCGCCTCGTCATCATCTTCGTCGTACTCTTCGGCCTCTCCATCTTGCCCCACTTCTTCTATCTCGCCGCCATCTCCGTCTCTGTCGCCGGTCTCTTCTTCGCTATCGCTGCCTTCTCCCTCGCTTTCGCCTTCCGAACCTGGATCGTAGTCATCCTCCTCCTCATCTTCGGCATCTTGCAGTTCTCTCTCGGCCCGCTGCAACTCGGTCTCCTCTTCTTCGTCCGCCTGTGTGGGATTCTCTGTCCCGTTCGTTTCCTCGCCCTTTCTTCGCTTAGGGTCATTAACGCCGATGCGCTTCGCCATGCGCTCCTTTGCCATGCTGGCATCATTGAGGCCGTGGCGTTTCACGTACTCGTCGATGCCAGCAAAATCGGCTTGATCGAGCATGGCGAACTCGATTTCCTTGGAGTCTTGATTTTGATCATCAGGAGAAGTCTGTGTCGTAATCACCAAATTGAAAGTCCGCTGCAATACCGAAGTGTAACTAATGCTCTCAATGTCATGGAATTGAAAGACTTGGATTGGTTTGCGGAAGCCGAACAGAATCCCTGACGAGAGAAAGAAAAGATATCCTGTAGTTCGGACTCCTCGTCAGCATTGCTCTCCCTTCTCTTTTGGATTGTGGACCTACCGTCTTTGCTACCAAGATGTGCCTTGACATGATAGCCGACCTCTCCCTTGCGATGGCTCTGTGGAATGGCGCTATGGAACTCATCTTCAGCAGGCAGTGTGATACCTTTTCCTTGCTCCATCAAGCATGTATTTATCATTCTGCCCGTGAGTGTCACCAAAGTGTCCTGCTCTGCGGCCTGTGTGCATGGCCCCGTATACGATGTCTCTTGTAGAGTGAAGACAAACTGTATTTCGCCGTGACAAGGGTTCGAAGAGTGCAATACCACGACAAAATTTTGCTGTCGCGCTGCCTTCTCCGGAACTGGCAAGCAGAACACATGTGCAACGCTTGCCCATGGTATCGCGTATGACATATCTTTCCCAGTAATCAGCAACCCAGCATTGACGGAAGTACCAGTTTCCGATGTCATAAGCTTGATATCAAGTTTCTTCCGAACAGGGATTGTGAAAGACACGTCCGGAAGGTCTAGAATCGAGACCGCCGAACTGACATCGAACGCGCCATCAGTGGTGCCCTCAGACATCGCATCGAGCTTGCGTTTCTTGGATGACGGGTCGGCTGCAGACAAGCCATTTGTCTGGTGTTGTTGCTTCTTGTCGCCATTTGTGCGCGTCAGGAAATGGACGATATCAACGAAGAGCTGGAGCTGGTCGCGATTCTGTTCTGAGAAGCGCACATGTCAGTAAGTCTCCAGATCACGCGATGGAACGGAAGTCTCACTGGCTGCTGCGAGCACGCGGTCGCATAGTGTAGCGTCTTGTGCAAAGGTCGACCGAAGATACTGCTCCTCAGCCATTTTAGGACCCAGAAACCGGCCGGTCAGGACGAGGACCGGGAGGTCAGGCGGC